AGGTACTCCAACCACAGCACCATGGATCTGTTGAAAAAAGAAGGCGAAGCGGCCGCCCTAATGGCCCAAGTTATAGCTTGGAACGTCTTGCGGCGCACGATGTCTGCCTTCTTATCCTCTGCCTTGAGGCAGCTGGTGATGTCTCCTGTGATCACTGCTAATGCTGAGGCTAGGGTGGCCACCGGATTGTCCACCTCAGGTACCTGGCGAGCTTGAGCAAAGGTCTGGTTAAGGTTATAGAATTTCCTCTCATTTCCCCCTGGAGTGGGAAAGGACCCTGGCTTCACCCACTGGGACTTGAGCACCTCTAGAAACATCTCTGGCGTAGGAATTTCCTCCTTAGCCACGGGAGGTCTATGCAGGGCCCCTTCTTCTTTTTTCCCTTACTAGTGCCAGCCGTTTCAGCCACAGGCTTAGGATCTGTGGGGGGATCTAGATCTGCTGTGGCACTTGCCTTGCGGAGCAAGGAACTAAATAAGGAGGGGGGGGAAAGGCCCGCGACGGTGGATTCGTCCTTGCCTGGGGCTCTTCATCCTCAGAGAACCCCACCTCCTTCAACTCTCCCTCCTCCAAATCGGAAGCCTCGCTAGCAGTGGAGGGGGAGGGAGACCTGGCTTCTCTGGCAGCCGAGGTGCTGGGGCGCTCCTGATGGCCCCTGGAAGGCTCCTGGGGGGCCCTGCTCCTGGAGCTCTAAAGCTGCTGGTTTAACCCAGAGGCCATTACTTGGGCTAAGACCTAGCTAGCATGTCCTGAAAGCTATTGGTGAGTTCAGATAAGGCAGGCTGGAGCTCTGGAGGCTGGGAATATTCCCTGGGTTCAGGGGATAGAGGAGCCAACCGAGGCCTGGCTGGACTGGGAGCCCTGCGCCCAAATGGATCCGCCCTTGACTCCGCTGGAGGTGCAGGCGAAAGGGGGGGGGGGTGATAGGGAACTGTGCCCTCTACCTGAGCCCCTTGGGGAACCAGGGGATGCTGCCCGGGCCTCATCCCGGACTGGAGGCCTGTGGGGGGATCGGGACCTGGAGGGGGAAGGGCTGATGGTAGCTCTGAATCTTCTGGCCGAGGCCCTGGTCATCCTGGCCTCCTTCCTAGGGGCCGCCTTCTTGGGGGCCCTGCCTTTGTCCCTCCTCGCTGGGGATCTCCCCCTGGGAACAGGGCAGACTCCCCCAGAGGTCCCCTCATCCGGATCCGCACCCCCTGGGGCTCTGGGCCTGGCATCCCTGTTCCTAGCCACCTCCGCCATTTACTCACAGTTTTTTGGTGCCACCAACCTCCTCTCTGCTCAGCCGGCCTTTAAAGGTGGGGGCGGATTCAAACTTCTGACCATGAATCCCCTTTCTTCTTTCTTCTGCCGCTGGTCTGCAGCCTGGATTGCTGGCAGGCACCCCTCCGGAGCACTCCCTGGATCACCGGGGGAGTAGATCCTGGATGAAGCCTCTTCCGGCTTTGCTGGTGCCTCCTGAGCGCTTTCGGCATCCGTAGAACACCGATCACGCGCTCGCCCACGTGCTCTTCAAGATGGCGGCGGCAAGATGGCGACCGCCGACCTGTGGTCCGAGCCTCCTCCTGGAGCTGGGGCGCGTTGGGGCGATCTCCGAGAGATCCCCAACGCCTCACAGGTCTTTGTCGGCCCTCTCAGAAACTGCGCAGTCGCTGCTGATGCCCCCGCGATGCGGAGGCTTCCTCCCCCTTAACGCAACCGGCTGGTCGCTCGGGGCGCGCGCACATGCTTGCAAGTGGTGAGGCTTGTATCCAGCAGCGCAGAGCACGGTAGAGGAGAGGTGGAATTGAAGAAGCTGTAAGGTAAAATCCTGTAGATAAGCGATCCTGTAAGAAAAATACTCCTGAGTCTTCGAAGTGAAGGGAGAGTCTGAGTAACGCTTCTTTCAGGCCGGAGACTGAGGTTAATCTGGGAAGGTCAGGGGAGGACCGTAGGTGTGGCCTCAAAAGATTACCTCAGTCTCCTAGGCAAGAGGGTTGGGTTAATACCCATTGGTTACTCCTCCCACACCTTCACTTTGGAAACATACAGTAGGTAGGTAGGGAGAGAGAGAGTAGGTAGGTAGGG